TTTGACAATTATATACTTACAATGATAGTACATAAAAGAATATAAAATTAATGGTAGAAAATATATTACAAATAAATTAAATTTTTAAACTAGCCTGGTTGAAGAAGTATATAAGTGAGGTAATAATTGGAACAATTTATGAGGAGAGAATRGATTGGACACTTTTAATAATGCTATTTATTTATTGCTGGTATTGTTTTTAATTCATAAAACAATTTGAAACATTCATAGGGACCCTAGAATCTTTAGATAGTCCTGTTTTAACACTAATTTAGAATTTTATAAAATATTGATGTTTGTTTTATTTTTAGAGAATCCATATACATTGGAACTACAGATTTTACAGTTAGTGATGTTAAAAGAATATTGATTGAACTTGGTAAGGATTTTCGAGGCGATAGATACCATTTAATGAATAAAAACTGTAATCATTTTTCTGGATCATTAACAAAGGTAAAATATTATTTTATTCTTAAATAACTTTGTTTTTTTATAACAATAAATTATATTGATCATAAACTTTTTACTTAAGATTTTATGTGGACAAGATATACCAAGTTGGATAAACAGGCTAGCATATGTTAGTTCGTGCATTCCTTTTTTTCAACGTTGTCTACCAAAGGAGTGGTTAACTCCAATTTCTCTTCAACGGAATTTGTCACGAAGAAAGTCGGATGCCTCTACTGAGCAACTCAACCCATAACATAATTATTTTTGCATCATAATAATTGTAAACAATATGATGTGTGCCATTCACATTAATTGCCTACTACTAAAATAAACATGTAAATGCAATGATATTATTTATAATATGTATAAAAAAAAAATATGTAGATTTTAAATTAAACGCTTTGAATTATAATATAATTACTTGTTTATTTATTTTTTATAACTTATAAATGGTTAACTAGTTTTGTAAAGCCCACTAAGAAAATGATCACGGTTATGAAGAAATATTAACTTATAACTTGTGTTCTATAAATAAAACAATAYTTTTTTATTTATATTTTATAGCTTTCTTAATGATATACAAACAAAATAAAATAGTTACATTAAATCTTAAATTAATTATGCTTATATTTTACATTAATATTAAACCTATATAATATAATAATAGTAATCTACATCAATTATTTTAGATTTTTTATAAACTAAAATTTTTAAATAATAAGTAAGACTTAATTATTTAAATATTTATATATTAATCTATTTATTAGAAAAATTAAGAGGTTATATTATTTTCTAAAACAGTAATCAGTTATAACTCAGATAATATATATAATAT